TGGTTCCCTGTCAGACACTGGTGTTGAAATATCCAACCGTAAAAATCCACAGCTGGGGGGCGCTCTAAGCCAGTGTTTTTAACCACAACAGTGTCCTCCTCCTCCTCCTCCTCCTCATAGAGTGGAATGTATTTACCGGATCAGGAGCTGTGGCTGTAGGGGGCGCTGCAGTCTGACTGTTTCCTGACTGAACTGTGAGCGTACCTCCTCCAAATGTTTGAAATTAGAAAGAATTCTATGAATATATTTGAAATATATAAGAATATTTCATTATTTAATATATATATATATACATAAAAAAATATATTTCAAAATGTGTAAACATTAGTTATATTTATTGTTAATTTATGTACATAAAGAAATGATCAGATCTCTAATCCAGTTTAAGAGTTTCTAACAAAATGTCTTTTCTTCTATGAAGTGCATGCAGATGTGTCTGTGAATATTCCAGTGTGCAACTTTGATTTTTCTTTTTTTCTTTTTGCATTTGTGTGTGTGTGAGTGTGTGTGATTTTGCGTGCGTGCGTGTGTGAGAGCGAGGGCGTGTGCGCACACACGGGTGTGTGCTGTAGTTAGTGTGAGTTTTTTAAACCATACCACTCCAGTATGGTTAGGGTCCTCGGTTTGTTTCCTTTCTGGCTCCCGCGGCCAGACTGCCTTTTTGTAATGCTAATGCTAATGCTAATGTTTGAATGCTGCCTTGCATTAGCCCCCACCAGGGTACAGTTTACGACCGAAGAAGAGTTCTGCTCCTAAATGAAGTATCCAGATAAATGTACAGCCACAGACATGAGTTGTCATTTCCTCCTCTGATATATTTGGCTGAAGTCCAGGGTCAGAGTTCAAAGGTCAACTTGATCTTGATGATCTTTTTTTTCCCCCCTCTTGTAAATGGATATGTGACGTTTGTGGAGATGAGCCCTTTATTCTTCCCTCTGTGTCATCACTTGGTGGTTCCACAAACTCTTTTGTAAAAAAAAAAAAAAAGAAAGAAAGAAAAAAAGGAATAGTTTGACACTTTGAGGGATTTTTTTAGATTCGGAAACAGGATTATTTCACAGCTAACTGAAGCTAGCATACGGCGTTAGCCAATAAATAAACCGCACATTCAAAACAAAGTTTCAAACACTCGGCTGCAGAAAACCTCAATGCGCAAATGAAAGGTGGCGTTAGCTAAAAAAAAGCTAACTGGCTAGCTAGCCATACTTTCTTCTGGCAGGATATTAGCCATGTAGCTTTTCTGAGCATGGATATTTGTGTAGTATTTTGACCTCACAGAGGAGAACCTGAGCGTGTTGGCTGTATGTCTACCTCATAGATCATATATAAGAACCGGACACAGCTGTTGGGTTCTAGAAGTAAAACCAGGGCAGTGAAGTTACGATGAACCAGTAGGGGGTCTAACTCTGAGCTAACTTTTTACTTCCATATGTTACATGGTCATTACAGCTTAAAAGACGGCACGATGTCCAGCGTCCAGTCGTTGTGCTTCGTTTTGGTCATTTGGTTTGACACGACGTGATCGAGTTTCATTTGTGCTTCATTAGATACCGCTACGTCGCTAACATCTGGTTTAATTGGTTAAAAGGTAATATATTTAAATGTGTGTCCCACTGATAAAACTGAACAGACTGATCCTGGGTCAGTCTACACTGGAGACCTGCTGTAGTTGGACTGTGTTTGTTGACCTACAGTCCAGTCTGAAAACAGGACAGTCTTTATTTACATATGAAAATACACAAATACCAAAAGCTGTAATACTCCAGTGTTAACTTTGACGTCAGGTTTGTTCCCTCTGGTTTCCACCACCGGTCCCTGCTGAAACCCTGATTTTTGTTTTCCCAAAATGTCAAACTATTTGTTTTTCCTTTTACCTTTTTACCAAACGCTCCTCTCTTCCTTCTTCCCCGTTTCACGTGTCTGTCTTGGATGCAACAACAGCATGAGAATTAACTTTACGCATCGAAATTGAACCAAAAGAACTAAGTAGAAATGTACCTTCGCAAATAGTAACGTTGTTTTGAAATGAAGTATTTATCATGTATGACATGTATTATATATAATACCAAATGAGGTGTTGAACGGAGCACCTTGTCAGAGACCCCTGAGCACTTCCTAGTTATGAGAAACTTTCAAGTGTTAAAAAAAAAAAAAAAAAAAAAAGGAGGAGAGCGGGCGAAGCACTTTAAGAGTTCAGGTGAAGACGACGGAGAGAGAACTGTGTTGGTGTTGTTGGAGGTCAACATAAGGGTCAGGAGACCACACTGGTCATTTAGAGTTTCCAGGTTTGTTATGAATGGCTGGATGTTGTTCTTGCTGCTTTGTTACTGATCAAACTTTGTCAAGTTTTTGCCTGAAGTCCATGTCCCAGAGTCGATATCTTCTCAAACAAAGCACAGCACGCTGTTCCTGTGTTTCCCCCCCAGGTGTCACTCATCGTTTGACGTGCGACGAGTGACATGTCACTGAACGACTTCCTGTCAAAAGCGTCAGATTTGCTGTTTCTGTGTTTGTGGAAAGTCATGCCAACTGTACGACCTGAATGTAAACATTTGGGCGAGCTTTTCTCTTCAACTCTAAATCATATATATATATAAGAAACAATCAGAGTGGCACTGAACCATCGACGATCACAGTCTGTCCCATGGTACATTGATTGATTTGTTTATGTATTAAGATGTTTTTCTCTTGTTTTGTTGTTTTTTTCGAGGGTCCAACGGAGTCGAGATTTTTTGATCTGTTTGTTTGTTTTTTTGTTTTTTTTTCTTCCCTGCTCTGGTTTGACACTGATGAACTGCTGATGCTGAACTCCATGTTCACGGCTGAGTGACAACTTTCCTGGTCAATCTTTTTTTTTTACACTGCTCTGCTGTAGAACACACTTCCATCCAGGTCCAAACTGAACATACACTCCAATAAACCCTCACAGCAGAACGTGATTCAATTCCAATATGCAAATTCTGTTTCATCTGTTTTTTGTATATTTATTGAAGTATTTATTTGCCCTCTTCTCTCTCCGTGTTTGTTATCGTCACCAGTGTTCTGCGTTCATTTGTCATCACTGCACAGCTGTAGCACCAAGACTGGATCTGATTGTTTCATGTTTCACCTAAAACCACTAATGAATCAAACGCTCCACTGGCTGCGTTGATCGGCGTGCGCGGCGACCGCGGAGTCGCCCGTACGGCGTCAGAAGTCCAGACAACGGGCGTAGAAAATGACAACAATCGGCTGATAAACAACCACAAGCAAATCTCCTTCTTTTCCTTCTTCTTCTTTGAGTGTGTCTTGGTTTGAAAACAAACACTGTTCTGATGTAGTTTTTGTTCAACACAAAATCTATTGTATGTTTTTTTAGAAAAAAAAATGTTTTGATCTCTATTGAGAGACTTTTAGTGAAATTTATATATGAGATAATTATGCTGTAAGTATATGTCATGTATTTACAGTGCACACACACACACACACACACATTCTCACTCACAACAGAATCCGACCTGCGCTGCGCGTAGGTCTCTGACATGCAGACGACTCATGGAGAAACGGTGGCTTCCTGGTTCATGTGAAGTAGAGACTGGAAGTATGAATAAAAAAAAATACACTGACCAGAATGTTTTGGTATTTTAATTGTCTTACTTCAGCTTAGTTGGTTAGTTAGTTAGTTAGTTAGTTAGTTAGTTAATGTCCTAAAAATCAGACTCTTCATCAGTGCACTGTCGCTTTAAGACCAGATATTTGTCTAAAGTCTAATCCGATGTTTCACAAACTTTTTTTTAAGCCACGTCACATACGTTCTCACCACCAAACAGAAAACTGATAAAAAAATATTTGTAATGAAATCTAATAATCTTCTAGTTTAAATGACCTCATCATTGATTAAAATCTCAGCCTGTTTAGTTGAAGACAACACTGATAAACTGGCAGGAATTGAAGAAACTCACAAAGATCTTCTTCAACAGCTCTGATTATCTTTTTTATTTTTTTTTAGTTTTCATCGCCATCCGCTGCCCCCTAGCGGAAGAAGATTTAATTGTTCTGAAAATTGTCCCGATTAGTGAAATGGGATCATTTTCCCACGGCCCACTAGTGTGCCACGAACCAGTGGTTGGGAATCACTGGTCCAAAGGTGTCACTGTGGAGCAGCAGCACAGATCAGTATGAAATATTTATATTTCACTGCACTTTTATCAAATGAAATATTAAAATTTGAATTATTGACGCTGCCCCTGTTACTTTGACAGACGGTGGACCGGGACACGACTCTGAGGACGACCTTCTCACGGTCAACATTATCAGACAAAACCAGGTCAAAACCTGCAGCAATGACCTACGTCTACGTCCAGCAGGATTCTCCGTCAGCTCCTTCATGATCCAGGACAGAGGAGGAGGAGGAGGAGGACAAGGACCGCGGTCCATCCCTGAGCCACGGGTAGAGACAACCAGCCATTCAGTGTTAGCATCTCTAATTCATTCATGAATTAACCTAACGTTACACCTCAGTAATTCCTGGCACAACATTTTGGGAATCACTTCAGAAGTCAATGTTTAATGAATGAATGAAATTCATCATTTTAAACTAAATGACATGTTTTAGTTTTTGATGTTTCAGCTCTTCTTTAATGACGGTTCGCATATATTTAAGAACCAGTTTGACCCAGTCTGGGCCTGGGGTAATAAGACCTTATCACCCCGGCCACAGGCAGACATAAACCCTTCCCCTCAAGTCCTTCATTAGTCCCTCCAGCTCAGACAGAGGGGATGGGTGAGGTCGGCGCGTCGCCGCAATGAATCAAGGGGGATGGGACAGCGTTGAGGCTCAGCATCCCCTGACCGACCAATCAGAGCTGAGATTAAATTTTCAGTAGGGCGGGGTGACTCTCCACCTTCTCCCTGAGCTGTCCTCGGTGGGCTTCACTGCTGCTGCTGCTGCTGCTGCTGCTGCTGACAGCTGTGGAGCAGCACACAGACAGAGGGACCTGGACACCATGCCGCTCCAAGGAAACCGTGCAGCATCACATGGAATGGGCTGCAGCCCGGCCCGGTGTAGCCCAGGACTGCCGTCGTAAATCGAGGACTGTCGAAAATCACCGGGAACATTTTTAAAGCAGAACTGTTTGTCTGTTCCCTGCAGGAAATCTTGGATTTTTTATTTTTTTATTTTTTATTTTAAATATACTTCCAGTCGGACATGCACCGCGCGTACTCGTTCCCGGTGACTGTGGAGCGCGGTCGGACCAAGGAGCGGCTGGAGGCGAGTCTGGCCGGACTGTGTGAGCTGGAGCTGCGGAAGCAGAGGCAGGAGTGCCTGGTGCTGGGAGCTCTGTCTCTGGGAGAACCTCTGGACCAGGACCGGTCCAGACCCGGAGACCTGGCGTGTTTCAGCAGCTGGGGTCAGGAGAACCTGACTCTGAGGCGACAGCTGGTAAGAAAGTTGATGCTGAGCATCTTTGACTCTTCGGGTTCGGGTTCAGGTTCGGGTTCCTCCATCACACACAACTCACAGGTTCTAAACCCCTGAAAGTTCTCTGTCTGACCCCGGGCTGGACTCTGGACCTGTTT